TAAATCTATGACACGTACTGATTTGTCCAAACAGGTAACTCTGCGTATAGCTGTAAGCTTACTTTGTAGAGTTGTGAACTAGAGAGCTACTTATAGAGCTTTGTATGTCGAACTACGCTAAGTCATTCACCGTTTGTATCACCTTAAGCAAAACAGTTAGTTACGAGATAGTTTTGACGTTGCTCTGTAGTTAGATCTTGACGTACTAATATAATCTATATGCCAAACTACATAAATGATAAATAGGACAGGCTGGTTATCATTAAATGGAGCCATAGATGAATTTCAGAAACTATCATGATTTTAGATGACTATCATCTACTTTGAGTGTTATTAATTTTACTGTCTTAACATGTCACAAATGGAATTTTCTTATGCGCTTGGTTAAAATTTCAACATTTATAAAAATACATTTGTCCATTTTTGAACAATAGGTAAAATGTAAGGGAGCTATTACAAATAGTGTAATGCTTAGGCCTATCCTTCGAGATTCTTGGTTAAAATTCGGGCATTTACCAATGGAGAAAAGCTTAACGCATAAACTACGAAAAGAATTACCAACGCCAAATTATTTTGAAATAATAAAGATTAAATGGCTGATGTATGCCCAATGGTAATAACAAAATATAAAGTAGACTATTATGAAACAAGAGGTTAAATTACCTTATTTTCGTCCAAAGCAATCCTGAATTCATCTATAAGGTATATTATTTGCATGAAAACAATATAATTTAAATTAATGTATATTATTCGAGAAGTAATCCGTAAGGCAACACACAAAATGCAGACTTTTATTGTTTGCCTCCAGGAAATCGTCATAAATCAGGTCTGCTTACTGAGGTAAAACTTTGTATTCAATTAATTCAGATTAAATTAATGTATATTATTATATCCGCATCAATATTTACAATATTTGCTCTCCGTTTCAATAAATCCAAATGCCCGAATGAGAATGAAATGTAAACTATGCTGTAGGGGGTTACAAATATACCATCGTACGCTTTTTATTCTAAAACCAAAAATATTTAAGCATCTCAGGGCATGGATGTTGAAGTACAATGAAACGTATTTCAATAATAACATATAAAATTTTACATTACTTTCCTATTATCTATTTAAATTAAAATGCATGTGATAACAGATAACTGATCACAGTATTTGTGGATTTATTACAAACTAATCTTGTTTCATAGGGAGAACTTAGTATTACTTCTATTTTAAGCTGTAAATATGTATTTTTGGCACCTGATTACTGTAAATATCTATTCAAGCTTTAATAAAGATAAATGTGTATCAACCGGAGGCAATAGAAGCCACTAAAAGTTGTAACAGTTTAAATTACTTCTGTGTTTGAGTTCGGTTTCCAGTTCAGACGATATTGCATTTCAACTTAGCCATTATCAACATTGTGGTACAGAAAGTATTGTTTCGTTATTCACTTTTATTGTTTATGAATTACAAACAAGAATAAAAGCATTATTTTATGTTTTTGTTACTTGTGATTACTTTTACTGTACATAATGTGTTGTTGCTGTAAATGCAATAAAATAGAGGTAATTCTGAGCAATTACTTGGTCAACCCCAATTTTTTTCATATTTTACTACGGTCATCAGGAGGTTCTCAGAAAGCAAGAAACATATAATTCAAGGCCCGCAAGGCCATCGTACAGGTTGCCGAGCGAAAAAAAGGTTCAAAGTCCAAGCGATAACAGTGGCTTGCGGGAGACGCGCGGAAGGCCAGTTGTGATAGTACCGTTATGGCTATGGCTAGTGGTTCCTCCGACAATCCTTAAGTAATTAATAACCTAACTTAACCTAACCTAACCTAACTTTTTATGTTTTTTTTTTAGTCTCAAATACATCTCTAAGGCCAATTGTAACAGTACCGTTACGTTAGGTTAGGTTAGGTTAGGTTAGATTAGGTTAATTAATAACCTAACTTAACCTAACCTAACCTAACTTAACCTTGCGGGCCTTGAATTATATGTTTCTTGCTTTCTGAGAACCTCCTGATGACTGTAGTAAAATATGAAAAACATTGGGGTTGACCAAGTAATTGCTCAGAATTACCAAAATAGATTCAATCAATGTAATGTAAATTTGGGCTTTGTTGAATAAATCTTACGTAAACAGCAAAAAATTATGTTTCTATATTTTTAGAAAGTAAAAATAACTTTTGCGAATCAGGTAAAATTTATCTTTTGACTAACAAACTAAAATTAAAACGAAACTTGAAAAGAGGTTACACGTTAAACCCTTTAATATGATAAACTGGAAACGGTTTTATAACAACATTAAATTTTAGGCATCCTTAACGCGTATAGCAACGTAAAACTAATTATTAAGGAATCCTATTATTTCGTCATCCTCAACCTATTTTGTTAACAAGCTTGGCCAAGATTCCGCATCCCTTCTTTACGCACTAAAAATAGACGATCTATTTAACTTTGACTCTGCAACGGTTGCGTTTGTTTTAATTATTTTAATATGCATTGTTTCTTTCAATCCTAGAGTTTGTATTTAAACGATTTTGCCATTCGCATCACTAATCCTAGCTGATGCTAACGGCTAGATTCAATTTACATTTACATTATGTATTTAAATTTAGTTTTAATTTTTTTTATTTTTCGTTTTGCAAAACATTTCCTATATAATACTTGTATTTTAATCCTTGTAGAAATTACAACTTTGTGAATTGTTACGAAGTAAATTAAATTTAAAACTTTTTGCAGTTCAAATCTTCCTCAGCTACAATAAAACTAAAAAAACTTGTATTACTTTAATTGGTTACCATATTATACTAAGTTTATACTTTATATATGTTCAATTAGGCTTAAACCTATTGGAAATCATACCGATCCTAGTTAGTAGAATATCGTACATTGAAAAGTAACAATATAGCCTATATTGTGAGTAAAGTTGTATCTTTTGTGGTCAATCCTTTACTAGACACAATGATTTTTTGTTTATTGACAAATATATTTAGATCATTTCCGTAAAAAAATAAGTATGTTGTATACACTAAATACTATATTAAAATACACTCCCGACTTGTTTTAATAGATGATAAAAACATTTATGAACATATAAACAACATATTACATATTATGAACATATTCAACCACCTACTTCAAGATTTACCCCAGTTAATGTTATTTTTACTATTATTGATAATTTTATTTCTCCAGTTATAAAAAAAACTAAGCTATATATTTGTCAACAGTGTATGAATGAGGACCCGTGAGTAAGTGTTGAAGAAATAACACAAAAACAAGCAAAGTTACAGATGTTAGTAATTTAAGTTTTCTAATTAAACTTAATAAGAACGTAGGCCCCCATGTTCTTGTTCCCAGATGGGTTCACATAAAGACTTCACGTCAAGCCCTGATTTCCTAAGTTTGCTAAAGCTCGGTGGTATACACTAATAGGGAGACATTGTTGTTACAACTTCGTCGGCGTTTGGTTTGACAAAAACTTCGATCAAGTAGTTCCTAATTTTCTTATAACTTGCTCTTATAAGAATTTGACCGAAATACCTAGTTACAACAAAAAGTAAATGTTTATGACACCAACGTGAATAACTAATCAAATAATTTCATTGTTAAAGTTTATATTGACAGCTGGACGTTGAGAGAAGAGGAAATGTGTTTTCCACAGAGATAATCGAATTTGCATAAAATAAACTCAAGAGATCTTCCAACATTTGCATAGGACAAAGGCCTTCTCTGTGTCCATTGCACTGTTCTGAAAATGTACGCGTGGTCTTAACAAAACAAAATAATGTTATTTATGGTCGTCTTATATACAGGGTGACAAAAAAGTCTGGAAACGGCTTGATATCTTTTTAACTAAATTTGTTAGAAAATTAAAACTTTTCACATCATCTTATATGTATGAAAACTACTTTTTGCAAGCATTACCATTTTTTGACCTTCACCAGGGGACGGCCCATGAGGAGTAGGTACATAATCTTTAATGTAAGCATAGATTGATATGCACGTCATTTTAAAGATCTGGTCAAGTGGAGTTCATTGCCGGAAACCGCGTCAAAAAAGGTTCATCCGTTACAAAATGGCGGCAGTCCAAAGTTCTTGCGGAATATACCTGCAGAGGCCTTAGAATTGGTAAATACTCATATTCAACATTAGCCGGGAAATCTGAAACCCGTTTAAATTTGTTTCGAAGATTGAATAATATTAGTCTATGAGCTAGTTGACTTTAAAATACAGTTTCAGCTCTCAAGCTAATGTTTAATACGAGTATTTACCAATAGTAAGGCCTGTGCAGGTATATTCAACAAGAACTTTTGACAGCCGCCATTTTGTAACGAATCAACCTTTTTTGACGCGGCTTCCGGCAATGAACTTCACTTGACCAGACCTTTAAAATGATGTGCATATCAACCTATGCTTACATTAAAGATTATGTACCTACTCCTCATGGGTCGTCCCCTAGTAGAGGAAAAAAAATGATAATTCTTGGAAAAAGTAGTTTTTATACATGTAAGTTGAGGTGGAAGGTTTGAATTTTCTAACGAATTTAGTTAAATAGATATTAAACCGTTTCCAGACTTTTTTGTCACCCTGTATAAAAAAGTGTAAACAAATACAAGCTATACAGCATTTTATTTATTAGTAATAAACTAATATTTGTGACAATGTATTTTGGAAGCAAGTCGATATAGAAATCATGTAATAACACGTTAACCACATAATAAAGTGGAACTCCCCTTTTTTGTTTTTGACAAACAATTACTAACTAATTATATTTAAATCGTAAAATGTTTTTTAAACCAATTTCAGAAGTACGTTCTATTTTATGCTACCGGAATAAACTATGATATATTTTTATAGAAAAAAAAATTTCATTCACCTTGAGTAATGTTCTTTGTTTGTGTATTTCTGTTCAGAGAAATCTACTCGTGGAATTTCTTTATACTGTAATAAAAGCTTGATTATCCAGAGCATTACAATTGATTAACAGATTTTTTTCTTTTCCAGGACTGTTCTTCATAGACACTGTTTATACAGAAATTCACAACGGACAACGATCAGGTAATATGTGATTTTTAGCATTAAACCAGATATTAAATAATAGATAAACGCACTGAGGAAATTAAAGAATGTTTTTGAATATGGTTTTTGAATTTAAGAGATTATTACTCTTAAATTTACACATACTTGAGATAGCTGAATTCCGATTATTGATATCAAAAAAGTGATAATTCAGTCTAAATCATTTTTCTGTCGACACGGCATTCCAGAAAAAGTTAGGTCACTGTTCGTTTCAATTTCAATTCCCAAACATTCATATGTCAAGACATTTTCCAAAGTGGCTTTAAGCGTTTATCAAGTAGCCCCAATTATTTTTACAAATCAACAGGAAGGCTGAAGTGGGAGTAAAAATCGTAAACAATGATTTAAAAGCATAATTTGTAAAACGCTTATTTAGCACTTTCAGCCTTTCGAACGACACCCCTCCGAAATGGGTAGCCCCTCCCAGCTTCTCACGAACAAACGATAACGGAGCACATTGCTTTAGACTGGTCATTTGCTCTGTGGAATATAAGATCCAAGAGAAAGGGAGGGAAACAAATCTTAAGAAGTATGAATACAATTTAATTGAAAACATAAAGTGCAAATTCTTAACTCATATTTCCCTAAGATAATATACCCAGTATAAACTGATAACCATTAAAGACATGGCAACATTGTGACAATCTTATTAATTGTTAAAATTATACTTTATCCTTATAATATGTACAGGTGGAGATATAAAATTTTACAAACTTATAATTATTCAATGTATGTTTAGATTTGGTTACATTTTTACTAAAATTTATAAATAGTAAATAGAAGAACGAATTAGTAGATATTCAGTTTTATATTACTCTAAGGTTAAAGAGACGAGGGAGAAAACAACGAGTAGAGCAGCCGCAGGATTTTCTTGGCAATACGCTCTTGAAAGGGTGAAGAGGTTTTAAAATCTCATTTTATGATTTCATATTAGATTATACTATTTTGCTTTGCTTCATTACATTTACAATATTGTTAAAACTTGTATTCTAGTAAACAAGTAATAACCCGTACCTGGTATAATTTTCTTGATAAATAAATTGCTTTCAAAAAAGGATACATTATAATAGATTTTATGGAATTTTGTGATGTTAAGATATTCTAAAAGAATTAGTCATGCCTATAACTGTTTAAGTTTTGAATCGTGGTCCTCAAATCAAAGACAGATTTATTTATTAGGTAATTTAAATAATGCGTTTAATTACATGTCAGACAACCTTATTTAAAACTTTTGACCTAAAATATTTTTGTTTAAATAGCCGTTTAAGATCAGTTCTTAAAATTGAAAAGTATCACATAACATCTTTTACTTTCATAACAGCATAGTTTTACTTAACAACACGGGTAACGGACCAATGAGGCTCAAGGATTGAGAGAGAATAAGTAAAATTGTAATCGAACGTCAAACTAATCAGCTGTTTATACCAATTTAATTGTTATATAAATTGGTGCAATTGTGTGGTACAATGATTCGTTGCAACACTGTCAGTGGCATTAAGGTTAAAATCGAAAACCTGACCTTTCATAGAAGTTATTAGTAGTGATTGTTAGTTATAAAAAATCTGTCGTGGGTAAAATATAGTACGCAACTCGCGTTAATATTCTTTAAGACACACGTAGAAGTGTTAAAGGCACTTGCCAAGGCTCGTACCTTAAATTTTCTACTCGTTGTAAATACTAACTTAATGCGATCATTGCATAAACTACTATTATTAATTTTATGCAGAGACTTTTTTTAAAATTTCAAAACATTTTTCATTTTGATATATTCAGGAAAGGCATTTAAAAAATGATATCCTCCTTTTAGGAAGTTTATGTTCGTCGATAATCATCCTAAAATACATTCTTACATGAAATAAATTGTTATATTTAAAAGAATAAGTATTTGAAAATATGTTTTTTCCAAACAAAATTATTAGAATGAATTACAAATTTAAAATACGTACCACAAAATATCAGGGAAATTCCATATAACTTAAAACTTTAAAATGTTCCATTTTTCTATGTCTATATCCTGCGAAAGAATTCATTGACTTTACTATTTTTGACATTTCGGCCAAAACACAATCAATTACGTTTTGTTTTTCAATTCATGTAACAAACACAAGCAGAAGTTTTATATTAAAAAAAGTTAAAAAGAAACACAATGTGGTTTCAAATATTGTTAAGACAGATTTTTTTTATTTAACAGAACGTGGTAAATCCATTCAAACAGTTTTCTCGTGATAAAGTTTATCTGTATAATCGGAAATCATATTCTGGATAACCTGACGACGTAAGCTCAATCTCCCTGCAAGTAGGACAGCAAGAAAAATATGCAATATACTTTACAATGACGGTTTTTAAAAACCTTTTGCAATAATTAAAGACCATTGTGTACTTGCCCTTACAATTTTAGATGAAAAGCAAGTAAATATAAAAAATTGTCTAGCGTTAAATACGTTTTTACGAAATAATACAATAAACGTATTTTAGATAGAATTAAGTTAGTTTTTAAACTTATATAAAGGTAAATAAGTCCCGAAATTGTATGGGACATAAAAAATTACTAGATAATCTATATAATTAATACGCTACATGAAACTTTGTCGGTTGAACTCCTTCACCATTTCTTAACCGATTTTATCCATTGACGTCTCATTGGAAAGAGCGTGTCGCGTAGATTTGCAAACTGGCCTTACATTTTCGAAAAAGCCCCTTGGGCTCTGCCCCAGTGGCTTTGAAAGTTCCCATGTTATCCTTATGAAGAACATAATTGTTGACATTTTGATCAGCTGTATAATTTAATTTCTGTTATTTATTTTCCAATTCAACGAAACGCATAGGTTACATTTACTGATTTTGTTGAAATTAAATATTTGCTACTTTAATTTACATTCGTACTTTATTCCAATGTAAAAAATCGAGAAAGCCTGGGCAATTTGATATATTTTACCAAAAAAGGAAAATTAATTGACAGGGCACTGAATTTTTGAGCAATAATTGAAAGAACCGATTTTTTACCATGGAAACATAGGAGTCATAGAACACCACCAAGTAGAAAAAATAGAGATAAAAAAAACATTTACCATCGTTATCATCCTAAATAATGAAGAGCACTTACAAGATGAAGATTCCCACAAACAATGAACAGGGATGTTAGCCAAAGTGTTACTATTTTGTAGTAAACACTGACTTAACTTTATGATGATCGGCAAAGGAAAACACTCTAGGGCTGAATTAAACTGGTACGGCAAGGACATTGAATATATGTTTTAATAAAAGTCAAGTGATTTTAAAATAATATGACTACATCCAAGAAACCTTAATAAAACTTTCACTGAAGGATTTGCATTATTCACATTTAATTGAAACAAAAAACCATCTGAACGACATTTGGCCTTTCAATTCTGCAGGTAAATATAACTTACGTTATAACAGTAACTAGGTAGCCAAATTAATGCCAATTGAAGCAAATAAAATTATGACAGAGAGGTTATGCAGAAAAACAGGCAAATCTTAAGTAATGTAAACAAAATGTCATCGCTATAAAAAATTACTGAAATTTGTAAACATACTAGCGACAACGGGTAGTACTATGCAGACTACATTATCATTGACGAAGATCAACCTGGACCACCTAATGCGGCTATAAGTGGGAAAGATATGTAGAATACACTAATAAACCAGATCAGCCTTTGAAAAATGATCAAATATTTACTAGAAATGTTGATTATATGTAACTGTTAGTCACGTAATCTATGAGCTGAGTCTTTTAAACTCATCGGAAATTATGACTTTTATTCGCTTTAAATAAGTTAATTATTTGTTTTTAAATACTGTAACTACTTTACTTCTTTGCAATTGCTCGATTTCGAGCAACATGTACACTAGTATTATTTTAAATTTATTAATTGATCACCCAAAAGTTTCAAACTATCTGTTGTATTTAAGAATATGTTTTATTTTTTATAAGTGATCAGATAGTTTTGAGTATTTCGAACTTGCATTCGACTATTAGTATGTTACCGTTACTGTTTCACCTTTAATTCAGGATGTAAAAAAACTATTTGAAATTTTAAAATAATAAAAAAATCTAACAAATATTTTAAAGTTTTCATATATATATATATATATATATACACGGCCGCGCCCGGGAAGCCAGTCACATAAAATATACACTGGAAGTCAGTCAGTTGCACCCCCCAATATATTTCAAGACTATGATATATATATAATATATATTGGTAAATATCTTAAGCCTAGACATATCTGAACGTATATATCTCTTTTTTTCTTAAAAATAATAAAATATAATTACGTAAAAAATGCTATGCTAATGCAGTCACCACCGCATTTGCATGGGAAAGCCAGTCACGTAAAATTTGTGCTGCTAAGCCAGTCACTATATATTTTACAGCATACCACTGGAATCCAGTCACTGAAAATCCACCGGGTATCCTGTCACTTCAGTCACTTTCACCCCTGCCCTTCTACTTTGTGATATTTATTTGTTCTACAAGCTTGAAGATTCGCACCTCAAACAAACGGATTATGCTTCAGGCATTGAGCACTCTCATAACCCATCTTTCGCACTTCATTTTAATTAGTTGTCTTCCAGATTACTTAACAATTACTATTCTACAGATTAAATACCTAAATGTCATTGTAATCTTTGGTCGTCTTAATAGTCGTCCTGGCAACTGTGGATACAAATATGTACCGAACTAATTCGCAAACGCAAGGTGGGAAGTTATTGTTTTGTAGTCGCACAATTAGGCCTATTGTTGAGTCCTTGGAGGCAAGCGGCCATCTTGGATGATTTCAAATAGCTGCAAAATTTATCGTCCAAAAATATTTTTCAAACACCAAAGTGTTTATAATTTAAATAGCTAGTATACTGTGGGATTAGAAATGTTCTTTGTAGTTTTGAATTATTCTCCAAGGGAGTCCATAAAATAAGTTAACGGTCACGGTCATCTTGGAAAAAGGCCAACTAA